TCAGAATGCATGGTCGTGACAGACAGCTCCGACGTCCGCTAGTGCACTCCCACCTCCGCTGGGCAATACACTCACCTGCCCTGCAGAGCCCACCTTTGGGCCTATCCCTCCTTTCCGTTTCTGGGTTATCACCTGCCTTTCCGCTAACCCTGCGACCCGACTCATCGGTAATATTCAGTCGGCTAATGTTTAACCCTGTTAGCTCCGCTCCGTTCAGCTCCGCCAATTGCGGACCCGTCTTCGCTGTAACCATATATATATCCCACTTGTACATAGGTTACACTCCAGTAATAATATCAACTAGAGTTACCCCCCTTAGGTTCTGATTGCCAGTCAGTAAGTTAGGGCACGGACGTGTCACTAGGCACAGCGCTCTTGGCAGAAGTCGCTGAGGCCAAAGCCCTCTGCTATGGAGACACTCCCTCGTCTCGAATCTGGTCTCTGACAATATCCATGAGGCAGTACAGCGCTATGATGCTGAGGATTGGCACTCAGCAATGGATGCTGAAGTGGCCCAACTTCAAAAGTTGAACACCTTTAAATTGGTCCCTCTGCCAGTGGATCATAGAATTATTGGTTGCCAATGGGTCTTAACTACAAAAAGAAATACAGAAGGGGAAATCATCAAATACAAGGCCCAGCTCATCATGCAGGGATTTTCTCAAATTCCAGGAATGGATTTTGATGAAACCTTCTTGCCAGTAATGCAACTGGAGTCATTCAGGGTTTTGTTGGCTATCATGATTCAATTGGACCTCAAAATACATCAAATGGATGTTGTTGTGGCATATTTGAATGGAGAATTGGAGGAAATATACATGAAGCAAATCCCGAAGTACGAGGATGGCATGAACAGGGTCCTTTGCCTAAACAAGACTCTGTATGGCCTTAAACAGGCAGGGTGGGTGTGGAACCGATGACTACATAAGGCATTAACTGAATTAAGTTACATGTGCTTATTCACCAACACCTGCATTTATGTGCATTGCCAAAATGAGAAAATATCAATTATTGCCTTCCACATTGACAACTCCACCATATTTGCCCCTGCAGATCATATTGAATTCATTAAAAATGAACTCAAGTCAAAATTTGACACCTGCACTCTTGGAGAACTGAATCACTTTGTTGGGATTAAAATTTCCCAAGACTGGAGCAACAATTCAATCACAAGCTTACAAGAACAATACATTTGCAACATAATTGAATGTGCCAGAATGATTGATGCCAATCCAGCACCTACCCCAATACACCTGAAACAGGCCTATGAAAAGTTCTCAGGCCTGTGCCCAGATTACCCCTATTCAACAATGATCGGATCACTTATGTGGGCTGCATTATGCATGCACCCAGACATTGCCTTTGCCATTCATCATTTTGTGCAATTCAACAATTCTTATGGTCTGGAACATATTTCTGGAGTCAAATGGATTTTTCAATATCTAAAGGGGACAATCAATCGTGGAATTACCTCTTCAAAATCAGATTCTGGATCAATGGCAATTGGGTATGCAGATGTGGATTGGGCAGAACAAAGGACCGGAAATCTGTTTCTGGTAACCTATTCATCATGTCAGGGGGAGCTGTTGCCTGGAGTGCTAAGAAGCAAGGGACTATCACCTATCGACTATGGAAGCCAAGTATGCTTCTTTAAGTCAGACATCATGCCATATTATGGCACCAAATGCTCATCTGGGAACTCAGATTCAATGCAGAGCACCCATTCAATCTCAACAACAATAATCGTGGGGCTATTGCATTAACTTGTGACCCCCAATTTCATGGCTGGAGCAAACATATTGACATATATGGTGTCAAAAACCCGGATTGTAGGGGAAAATGCATGAGTCTGAATGCAGGCAGGGCTTAACTAGAGGGGATCTGAGAGCTCCAGTAGTGAACCGAAGCTTCTCCAGGAAGCCTGGTTCTGCTGGGTGGTACAAGAGGCTCTAAGAAGGACGCAGCCTCAGCGACTCGGAGGGAGCACTGTGCCTCCGTTACATCTCGGTTAGTCCTTGTATTTCGTGTGTCTGAGGTATCTTGTAGAAAGGGGTCAGGATTCACTCAGAGGGACTTGGGGTAACATTTTAGTCGAGATTAGAACTGGGGAAAACTACAGGTTCTAATCTACAGGTATTTATATGGAGGAATGGAAAGGACTTTAGTCAAAGTGTCATATCCGTGCATACCCGACCCCTACCCGACTTCCGGACCTCCACCCTCTTCACCTCCGGAGTCATACCCTCCCGCTGCCATTCCGATACTCACCTTCGGTCCTGGCAACACACTTCCTTCTACCCCTCACACCACCTCTACTCCTCCTCCCCTCTCCTCCCCTATCTCCGTCCGCTCCGATACTCACCTCGGACCGAACACTGCCCCTCTTGCCACCCTCCTACTCCGCTCCTCCTTCACAACACACCACCCTCCCGTCACCCTCCTACGCTTCCCCCGTCCGCTCCGATACTCACCTTCGGACCTGACAACTCTCCTTTCCGCCACTCCTTCTCCCTTACCTTTCCCCTCTCTCCTCCCTCTGGTACTCCTCCGCCACCCTCCCGCCAAGTTACGACCTTCCACCGCTGTCCCATACTTCGTACTCGGACACTGCTCGTACCTTTGCTCCGAGCCTCCATCATAGTCCCTACCTCGGACTTTGACTCCACCTCGGTCTTAGTCCATTGCATTGGTGACCTCATACTACGTAAACACCATTGCCAATATCCCTTGGACTTTCAACCCCACCTCCGTAACCTCTGTAAGCTCCGCAACCCCCGAGCTTCGCGGATCGCCTTCGGCACTCTCGCCGCTTGTAATGTATTTCTCGCATTTACCCCTCATCCCTATTTGGACTACTGCTTCTTCCCATTCTAGCCAGTTAGTCATCATCCCCACTTCTCCTCATCCTCCTGCCCCTCTGGGCTTCCCCCCCCTATCTCCTTTCGGATGTACCACAGGTTCTGACCTATGACCTGTCAGGGACCGGTCCGGGGTCGAGAGCATCTGGGTATATTGCCCAGCACTGAGGGCCCAGTGGGGTGTGAAGCAGGTGTGTACAGCAACAGGTCCGGCGCAGGCAGATGTCCCTGAAGTGGGAATGGTGAGAAGAAGACTGCTTCTCTGGTTCCCACCCCAGGTATGTTTATATACATGGTGCTCGGGTCACATGAGAGTTGCCACGTCGTCCCCATGCACAACCCCAGCCAGCCGGGTATTCCCATGGGGGATCCCGAAGGGATCCGCTGCAGGCGGGCATGCTGGGCGTACCTGGGGGTCGTCCGGAGCATCCGGGGCTGGGTGCGTCGTGCATGGGTCGCAGGCGGGTTAGTAGTACATTGATCAAGGGAAGTCATCTGTGTAAATAGAAATAGGAAGAATAGAGAATGAGACAGAGAAGAAATAAGAAGAGGGGGAAGTGGAGGGAGGAGGAGACAGGAAGGGGAAGAAGGGGGTAGTGGGTGGGGTGGAGCCGGGTGGAGCTGGGTGAGGCGGGTGTGCCCTGACATGACCCTCGGTACTGCTCTGCTTTCGTCTTCCCTTTGTCCCGTTTGGATGCCTTTGTTCTGATTCGGACCCTCCTTGTTCCCTCATGCTTTCACCCTCTCCATTATATACCAGCACTTGTACATACTTGTTTTAGGCCCTTAGTCTAAAATTGACCTGAAATGCCCCCTAGAGACTTCCTGCTCGCCGCCTCTGAAATTAAGGACCAAATGGACAAACAGCAATGGCACAGCACTCTGCTTGAGTCGCTGAGGCCAAGGTCCCTCCTTGCACCCCCTTGTTTGATGCGAAATTCCGCATCTCAAAAGACATGGGAAAATACCCTGCAAACAGACCACTCTCAACAAAGACTGACAGCTCATATAAAAATAGCAGGCATAAAAGCCTATGCGCTATTTGACAGTGGAGCCGAAATGGATGCTATATTGCCAGACTTCATCCGCACAGTCCATATCCCAATTCTCCAATTGGAGAACCCAGTCATCCTTCAAATGGGTACGAAAGGAACAAGATCACAGATCCTGTTCAGAACAAATGTGGACATTGAGATCAATGGCCATGTAGAAAAACACTACTTTGATGTAATTAACATCGATAGATATGACGCCATATTTGGCACCCCCTGGTTAAACAAAAACCAGGTAAGTTTGGACTTCTGGTCCCACAAAGTGAGAATGGTGAACAAGGGTAACATAGACACCCTTGGAGTCAGTGAAGACCATGTGACAAGATCACACAGGTGGAAAACTCGAGCAAGGGCTTGAGAACAGCCAAAAAAGAAGCCCCCCTGACAGCCCCCAGCTGTCAAACTCAGGGCACAGCACTCCCCTTGAGTTGCTGAGGCCATGATCCCATTCTGCCAACTCTGAACAGTGCTTCCAGATGCACCACTTGCTCCACCCACACATCTGCACATGCACACTCTGACAGCACTCTGACAGTCTCCAACTCTGACAGTAATTCCAGTCTCTGACACTTATATATGATGTAGTTTAGTAAACCTTGTACCCTAGTTCCAAAGTTCCCCCCCATACAAGATAACCCCCTCTGAAATTAAGGACCCCTGAGATGTAAATGGAGGCACAGTGCTCCCTTTCCAAGTTGCTGAGGCCACATCCTTCACGGATCTTGTACCACATGCAGACTGCAACAACCTCCGGAACAGCATCAGCATACTACCTAGCACCCCAGAACTCCCCTAGTTGAGCCCGCATCTGCATCGGTCCTATGGTATTTGACACCATTCAACATCCTAATGATGCCCCCTCTATATGCCCTCATTACATAGTTTCCTGGATCAGGGGGCATGCTGGGTTCTAATTCTGTTGATGCACTGATCCTGTTGATTGAGCATATCAGGAGGTTCAATTGATCTGGATCACCAGGATCAACCTCAGAGATTTCTTGATGAGGGATTTTCCATATTTCCCCCAATTGATCCATAAGAACCAGCCTGTTGGCTATCTGGTTGTATATTGTGCTGATAAACTATATATATGGCTCTTTGGACATTCCTCCAGCTTGCCATCGGTCCTTCCTTGCTAATGCCCCTGTTCTTCACAACCCATCTGTTGGCTACAGCAATGAAGTTCTCAACTGCGGCTATTCTCATCATTATATTCACTTCCACTGCGACAACTTCAACCCTTGCTGCCTCTGTCCGTATCAGGATGCCGAAGGGACCAGTAAAGCCCGACTCCTACATCGTGTATGTCCCACCCACAGGCATAACATAATACTGGCTGATTTACTACGTAGTAGGCTGAAATCCGGTGCAAATTTGGAAGACCATATCGAGAGCATTACTCGGATATCCACCCGGAGCCCTGGGTCTGAATTCTCAGTCACTTACCGGTATGAAAGTAAGTCAGTATCATCCCCCCCCTCCCCCGATATGCTAACTTTCGTAGTGCTGAACGGCTACTCCGCACACGCTGCTGGAACATCCCTTAGTCGCATTCTCATTTGCCCCGAAGTTGACTATGTCGAAGCTGATGGCATAGCTTCCAGTGACAGTTACCTCCACCACGTGAATGAGAGGGATGCGGCAGAGCGTGACGATGCTGCAGTTGAGATGGAGGATGAGGATGGTCCGGTTGGACTCGAAGCACGGCGCGTAAACGGGAAAGAAGTGATGATTTTTATATTGAATAGTGGATGTCTGCTCAATCATATCAGCCTCGAGAGTGATGAACCTGATCGTCATGGTGGCTATCTAAGTCGGGTTAGTCATGGTCCGGTGCGTATCTCTTATGCACTCCACCATATATGTTCACTCATCCCTGCTTGCACGCGCAGGCCTTCGGTTTCGCGACCCACGTGGACACTCACGGCGAAGGCACATATATGGCCGGGCTGACAGTGGGGAGCCCTTATAGCGTTTCGCCCGGCGCCGTCGCCATTTCACTCAAGATCTGCAGGGACCCTTCTGTTGTCGCTTGGGCCGACCTACTCGCAAGCTTCCAATTTGCCCATCGCCAATTTATTCTGACTCCTGATCTTCCGACCATCGTTCTGATAACCGCCAGCGGTCCTTTCAATCTGGCGATTAACGACGCCATCGACCGTGCCACCAGCGATGGGTTGCACGTGGTAGCTTCTGCTGGGAATGAAAACGACGACGCAAGCTTCCACAGTCCTGCATCTGCTCCCGGAGCTATCACCGTTGGCGCTGTTGACTGCTCAAACGCAAAACTACCCGTGTCCAACTACGGAGAGGTCGTCGATGTTTTCGCCCCGGGTTCCAACATTCTAAGTGCTTGGAGGGGGATGGGTTTAAGCCAAACGCGGAGAATGAGTGGCACTGGCCCGGCAGCTGCGTTAGTTGCGTCCAACTTAGCCCGTGCTTTAGGTCAACCTATGTATAAGGATATGTCTCCTGCCGAGCTAGCTGCCGAATTGAAGAGGCGTGCCATACGGGCAGTCAAACACCCGTTACCAGTGGGAACCACCGATTTGCTGGTACAAGCTTGGCCGTGACTTCTGATTCTAGATGTACACACTGCATGGTCTGTTTCACAATCTTTCACCTGTTGTAAACGCGGTGTTCCAAATATGGCAACCCGGTTCAGCGGCCCACTCGCAGTCCAGATGTAATATAGAAATGAGAACAAAGAAACTGTGACTAAAATACACACAGCACTCCAGCGCCCATATTTATACTCCTCAACATTCCAGGCTCTTCTATGCCCAGTGCATATGCAGGCACCTAGTAACCTGTAGAATATTCCCGGATATTCCGGTTCACCTATTCTCATTAGACATGTTAAACAGTGCAGGGAAGACTGAGGCAATGGGAGCGTGAAGTCAGGCTAGAGTGTGATGTCAAGCATACTGTACTGGCACAACCAACAACCTGTCACACATCACACAAAGGTCTGGGATTGAATTAAAAATTAACAAAATTGAATTGATTTATGGCTCCGGTAAATCCCGAAGCCAGGTTGTTGGTCGTGCCAGTGCAGTAGTTTATAAGTGTGAACCTCTATGTGAAATCTGTAAGCTTCATCAGGAAATTATCAGGATTAAGTTGGACAGTTAGAAGCAGCAGGTTCATCAGAGCTGGTCAAACTGACCAATTCCCCAAAGCATTCTAAGAAAGGTGTCATGTTTCAATATATTTCAGAAGTGAACTTGATTGTTTTCAAAGCATTTGAAGCAAAACTCCCATGACCATTTGCTGATGTTGAGGACTTATCTAGAGTGCATGTCAAGCATAGTTGAACATTGTACTCAGGTAATCCTTACCCTTTTATGGTCTATCTAACTGTGTGGAAAAGTAGACAAAACTTCAACTGGATGGCTGAGCTTGCAGGGCCTTTGGCAGAAAACTGTCATATCCCGGAATCCCGACCCCGCGCACTCCCACCACATCACACCTTCCTAACAACTTCACCATCCCCTACACCATGCCTCCCCACTCTCCAAGTCACCTTCCCTCCTGACTGTCTCAGCTCCGGTCTGGTTGCAGCACACCGAACCTTGGCTACTCCCATCCCGGAACCCCGGTCCCGAGTCGGAACATTCGGAGACCCCGGATTTGCTCCGATATCCTGACGGACCTCCGACATCCCGTGACATACCCTTAAACCATTCCTTCACCCACTTCATTTATTGGAGTCGCCCAACATCCTTCAGATATGCAACTCCGCTTTCGGAGCTAACCGCATCTTTCGGTGATCTCCTTCACACTATCACTTATTAGTCATCTTCCATTCTTAGCACGACTACCTTCTTACTACCATTCAGTCGGCTAACCCCCTTTACCCATTTGTCTTCCCCATTCATTTTCCGGCCTCCAACTCCGCCCTCCTTGGCCCGACACCTCGGTTCCCTGTTTTAGATATCGTCCGGAACCTTTCGGTACCTCTCGGTATCATTCGGTACCTTTTGGTGTTTTCCCCATTTTGTCATTTCGGGCTTTGACTAAAGTCCTCCCCATCCTCCTTTATAAATACACGTAGATTAGAACCTGTAGTTCCTCAGTTCTAATCTCGACCTGAAATGCCCCCTAGAGACTTCCTGCTCACCTACTGTGAAATTAAGGACCAAATGGACAAACAGCAATGGCACAGCGCTCCGCTTGAGTCGCTGAGGCCAAGGTCCCTCCACGCTAAGTCTCCGATTCCACTCCGGAGTCGTCCGTTTCCGCCCCGTTCTAACAAAAACCTACAAAACCCCTCTGAGATGAGCACAAAAGGAAATATCCACATGATCAGGGCTGAACAACAATGATGGGAATTCACAGCATTTCAAGCTGTGATTTTCATGTCAGAAATACCTAGTTACATACCACATGTTTCTGAGAAATTTCTGATGGTGATCCTAAAATCTGTTTTTCAAGAAATACCCTTAATCTGACAGGTTGAATTCACCCCAAGGCATATCTCAGAAATATGTGAACATGTAGGGTGTTATATCACTTATTTCTGCAATGACATTTCTTCAGAAAGCACAAGGATACTGCACAGGAAATTGCAGACTATGTAATTAATATATCATATAATCATTAATTGGTGACTGTGTGTTACAGATATAGAGTCTCCAACAACCATATCTGTCATATTGTCAAAGACCTCCCCTTCTATCACTCACTCACTCTCTTGCTCTCTCTCTCGATACCCTACTATCCTCTCCCATTCAATCCCATTCCCCCCCTTGTGCAAAGCTTTCCCCATCGGGGTTTTGGTGCTGGCCAAGGTTTGTTTGTATTTCACGGGATTTCCTGTGACCATTTCATTTTGTAGATAGTCAGGCATCATGTATGGAAACTGCTGGAGGTGGTTCCCACTAACTACCATGACTTGCTACAATCTACCTTGTGCGTTGTCCCTTGTAACAACCCCCTTCTGTGACTCAGCTGATGTGGGTGTGTACTACTCTCAACATGTGCTATATGCCTGGTTACATTGAGTCTTCTGGCAGTTCTTGCCATGAGAACTCGAAGTCGTGAGTCTTCGACTTGTGACTTATGTATCATCTGTTATAGAGCACATAATTGTCCAGAAGTGGAGAAGGGACTCATGTCACGACCCGGCATTCCCCGGAGTCAGATGACCTCCTCCCTGACCTTTTCCCGCACCCAAACACTCCCTGCACACTGTGCTCACTGCCTGTCACTGTCTAACCACTCCCCACCCTGTCTCAACAACCCCTCCCCTAATTGTCATTGAACAACCTAGCAGTGCAGAGTGCTGTGACCTTTTGTCCCATGTTTTGCTGCACCTTGTTATCTCGTGGTGAAGGTCATGTTTGACCTTTGCTGTTTCAACCACGTGTGTCATATCCATACAATCCCGACCCCCGCTCCGGGCTCCCGGAACTCCGAACCTGACTTCCAGAGTCCTACCCTACCGCTGTCCATTCCGATATTCACCTTTGGACCCGACACCACACCACCCCTCACCCCTCATGCCACCTCCACCCTCCCATCCTTCTCCTACCCTATCTCCGTCCGCTCCGATACTCATCTTGGACCGAACATCACCCCTTCTGTCACCTCCTCCTTGCTGACTCCCAAGAGGTTACCCCACCTCCGGCTCCAAACACCAGCTTCAGTCCGACTCCAGAACATTCCGGGTCTGACCTCATCCTCGACACCTTCCAGATGAGCATGCAACACCTATGCTCCCGACTCCGGACCTCCACTCCGGAATCCTGTTCACGTCTCTGTCTCCGGAACCTCTGGTCTTAGTTCCGACCTTGGACTTTGACCCCACCTCCGCTTATACCCATTGTATTGGTTAGCTCATTCCATTTAATTATGTTTGCCAATATTCCGGAGTTTAACTTCCGAGTTCGGACTTTCCGGACTTACCTTGGACCTTGCAACTATTGCATTGCTCCATTCAATTCCGCTATACTCCCTCATCCCTATTTGGGCTGCTGCTTCCTTTCTATTCAGTCAGCTGGCCATTCCCCACTCCCATCCTCCTTCCTTCCTCCTTGGGCCTTGGCCCTTCATTCCTCCTTTGAGAAACACCATTGAGTCAAACCCTTGACCCTCAGTGTTGTTCCTCTTTCCATCTCCCTTTGTCTCCTTTCGTCCTACCCTTGTTCCTTTTGATTCCGGACCCCTCCTTATATACAATGTACCTAGTAACTTGTAACCTCAGTCCGAAATCGACCTGAATTCCCCCCAAGAGACTTTCCCTCTGCTAGATCCGAAATTAGGGACCCCCAGGACAACCAGCAATGGCACAGCACTCCGCCTGAGTCGCTGAGGCCAAGGTCCTTCCACGCTAAGTCTCCGATTCCACTCCGGAGTCATCCGAATCCACCCATTCTAACAACATTGTTATGGATATAGACTAGAATCTTATGGTCCATGGGTGGACCCAGGGCCTCCCCCCAGTTTACTTCTCCATCAAACCCCATGCCAAGCTTTCCCACCGGGTTTTGGTGCTGGCTGGGGGATTTGTTGAGTTTCAAGGGACTTCCCTTGACCATTATAACTTTTATATTAGATAGTTAGAAGTCATATGATGTGTAAGGCAGATGCTGAAAATGTTTTCTCATTATCGAATACATAACCCACAAACCTTGTACTGCGATTGTAACATCTTCACCATTGTGCCACCACTGTAAACTCAACCTGTAACCCTGGAACCATGTCCACCTCCCTATCCATCCTCTCCATGACAAAACCACAATGAGGAGGGCATTCCCATGCCCAACCTCCTGCAGCCCGCTCCCACCAGTCCACCAGGTGGTTGAGCGGTCACTCCCATCCAACCAGAAGTTCCCTTTCAGGAACTGTAGCCTATCCCACCTCCTTAGGAGAGGGATATGGTCCAGGCAGCTCCAGGATGCCTGGCCACGCACCTGCAGGTCCCACTTCCCACGGTCACCCACTACCGTGCACTGGTCCATCAGCCCGCTTTCCCCAACAACTCCCGCTACCGGTACGCTCCCGTGAGCGCCAAGTCACCGATAGCCACCAACTGGGTGACTCCCTTTGGGAGTCCCAGTATCCTGCACTACTGGCACGCTCCCAGGAGCACCAAGTCCCCATTAGCAGACAGCCAGGAGGCTCCCTCAAGGAGCCCACATCATACTCGCTACCGGTACACTCCCAGGAGCACCAAGTTACTGTTGGCCAACCCACAGGTTGTACTTCCAGACACTCATCCCATTCCACTCTCCCTCTGATGGCTATACAGCCACCTCCATTAGTGAGCCAAACAGTTCAGGTTGGGTTCCCTGGAACCCATTCCTGTAACAAACGTGCTTCTTGTTTGTTTTCCTCTTTCTTTTCTCTGCCTGCAATCTCTGCAAGATCTGGTGACTTACTTTCTATTCAGTTCTCTAGCACTTATATACAGCTTGTAACTATTGCTTGTACTGTAGTTTGAAATTAACTAGAATCCCCCCCTAGCTTACCTCTGCTCCTTGTAAGACCTCCACCTTCTGAAGTATCAGGACCACGTTGAGAACGAGGCACAACACTCCTTCCTGAGTCATTGAAGCCGAAATCCCAG